CAAATAAATAAATAAAATCTTAAGGAAAAAAAAACCTGAAACAGTAGAGATTTTTTTTGTTCTAAAGGACAAAAGGAAAAGTGATGAAAGAAATGTAAGAAAATTTGTTAACCGCTGAATCACAGGTATATGGGAGTTTGTTTTATTATTCTACTTTTATGCATGCTTAAAATATTTCATAATAAAGACTAAAACTAGTGACACATCAGCAAAATAACAGAGAAACATACTACATAACCATAACAAAGACAACTTCTCACCAGATATAAAGTCATATATTATCTGTCTCTCACACATACACACAATGCAAACAGAGATACAGAAAAACAGATGTAGGGAGAAAAATTGGTAGACAGATAGTCTTACTGCAGAAAGGAAAAAAAAGGACCTAAAAATAGACAATTCCCTTATCTAGTAGGAATTAATCTTCCTAAATTAAAAATATTGAAGTACAGAAATGCGCTAAGGGACAGAAGAGGAGAAAGAAAAGAACTGACTTGGAAGTTATTCTACGAATACACCCCTAGTATCTGCTTTCTGGGCCAATCATCTAACCTTCCTAAGCTTCAGTTCTTCAGTGATAAAAAGGGGATAAGAGATGTTCTATCTACCTTCAAGTCATTATAGCCATCAAATGAAACCATACAGGAAAAAGTGCTTTATATATTACAAGGAGAATATAAATACAGAAGAAAATTGGCCATTAAATATTTGTTATCTTACCCAGATACATTCTACTTAAAGTAAAATAAGTATTAATTGTACATATCACCTTCAAATTCTTATCTTCTGGGTTAACAAGATAAATATATTTCAACTTAATATCTAATATTATTATACTCACTACTCCTGTGTAATAGCGTAGTCCAACTACATGACCTCTCAAAGTTCCAAATAAAACTGAATCTAGCTCTTCATCACTAGTTAGGAAGTCGTCTGGAGGTATAATATCTTGGAATTCAAAACGGGGAAAGAAAGTTGGATATGAGAGGCGTGGAAAATTTCCATGGGCTCCGTATTGGACAGTCTGCAAGTACTTCCAAACAGGATCTCTATTAAAAAAGAAAAAGCACAGGAAAATGATACAATATTTAACCAAAGACCATATTATATTTATAGGCCAATTGTTTTCTCATTTTATTTCAACATGTTAAATCTTTAGTGGGAACTGCTGTATAAAGATTGACAGAGTGTTACTATGGGTAAAGCAGGAATTGGAGTGAGTGGGGAAGGTTTCCAGGAACCCTAACCTGTTCAGTAATGCCTCTTCTACCTACCGAGTACTCAAAATGAAAACTCCAACAAGGGCTCACAAATCTTTTCCCTAGTGATGATCATCTATTTAAATTGAGATGTATATGATGTAACTCTAATTACACACCAAATTTCAATAAGAATTGAACTAGAAACGACTTGCAAATATGGAACTATTATTATATGTGAAGCCATTTATACGGTTACAGATAATACAACCAGCATCCACTGTTTTAATTCTCTCCAAATAGAACCCTTATCAGGCATCTAAATCATGCCATCATGGGAAGTTGACCTCAAGTCTCCCATTCCCGTTGGTTTAAGGGTACCCTCAATCCTTTCATGGATAACTGTTCCAGGAACAGGCATGTACACCAATTTGGAAAATGAAAAATAAGGGGAAGTTCGCTGAGGGGCTTCCTGAAAGTTTCCACTCTCCTAAGAACAGATGGAAGCTATTTCCCCGCGTTTTCCTTGTACGCCGCGCATACCTCTTTGGCTCCACTGCAAATACATATTTCTATATCTGTGCGTGCACATAAACTGTGAGCTACCTGGGGACAAGGGCTTTCTTAATTGGCCCTTTATTCCGAGCACACCGTCTAGCGCACAGTGAGCATCTAACGTGTGTTCGTTGAATAAAGCTCAGATCAGGATCCCGGCTAAAGAGTGGAGCTTGGAACCCTAGGCCCCCCACAGCCCCTGAGAGAGATTTCTCCAAGGCCCTGGCATGAGGCTCGCCTGAGGAGCCTCCCCTCGCCAGCCAAGGCTATGCATTTATTTCTCCCGCGGCGATATGAGTCACCAGCAGGACGAATACAAGCTGCACCGAGAACGCGAGGAGAACTCGAAGGGAACGCGGGGAAGGTCAGGTTCATCTGGGGACGCCGACAGGCCGTTACCCCCTGCGCCCCACCCCCTCGCCCCCTTCACCTCTTGAACATCCACGACATGGCGCTGAGCGGGTAACGAACGGAACGCTTGTGCGCCCCAGATAGCTCTCGAGCCGGCTCAATACGCCTCCCTCCAGGCCCTACAGCCGAGAAGCACAGAGTAGGTTCCGAGCGCCGGAGGAAAAGCGCTCCGATGGAAGTGAGACGCCGCGAGTCTAATCCGACGTCGACGCAGTCGCCTTCTAGCAACAGTCTGAGAGACCAGTGACGCTTTGTGACTGACACTGTCAAAGTCCAATCGCGAGGAAGGAGCCTACGGAAACGAACCAATCAGAGCATGGAAGGGAGGGCAACTCCGCCCCACGCAGGGATTCAAAGACTGTAGAGGGTCCCGGCTGCAGGGGCGGTTCCATCCGGGTTCTTCCCCGCCCCCGAGGCGAGCGCGCGGGAAAGCCACGCGGCCCCAGGAGTACGAGTGGCATGCTGGTGGTGTCTGCGTTATCGGCTTGATTCCCAGCTTCAAACACAGAGAGACGACTCTCTTTTCCACTGTTTGCCCCAGGCCCTAAGTCTCAGCCCCATTCTTCAGGCCTTACTTCATCCTGCCTCATCCCTACCTCATCTGATGTGACCTGTAACAGGATCTTCCACTGAGTAAGCTCCGCGATATTACGAGCCCCGGAGCTACCAACAAGTTACTTTCTTTCATTTCCTGGGGTGAATCTCGGGTGGATGCCTTCAAACTGTTCATCTTAAGGGTCACTAGCGAATCTATGAGACACAACGAATTCAGAAGTGTTTAATTGGAATTTAGGTTTACAGAGTTCCCCCCTCCATTTTCTTTTTTAAGGAAAATTTTCATTTCTAGCAGTTGGTGATTGCTGGGAGTAGTGAGCGCGACCAGCTTTACCTGAGGCATGTGGCTGCCCATGTGAATAGGTGGGAAGAAGCTTGTTTTCCTCGGGGACCATAGGAGGAACAGAGCTCCACAGTTGGCTTTTGAGTCTGAGGAGAATCAGAGAACTGTATTTTGGGTACAGTGGGCTGGCTGCAACCAAGGGGCTGGCAAGGCTGAGCTCTGCACCTTGGGAGCCCAGAAGAAATTAAGTCAGCTGACCTTTAAACTGGTGCAGCAGCAGCACCAGAGTAAAGAAGCTGGTGGTGGTTTTGAACCGCACTAAGTCTCCGTGTAACTATCAAAGAAGAATTGTAGGATCAAAGAGGAAATGCATTTGTGAAGGTGGTCAATATTGACACTTGCCCTTCATAGAGTGCTCCATTTTACATTTCCTTCCGCAGAGTATGAAGAGTAGTCAATAAGACAGTTTTTTCAAGAGGCCTTTGTTCATTTTCTTAAGCTATCATCTGTAAGCATGAACCAGCAATGGAAAGAGAAATTGAATTTGCAGCAATTTATTACTTCATTTCACTAAACAGAAAGAAGATGATGAGGAAGATGAAAACAGTGGCATTTCAAATTATTTTAATTTACTTTCTTCTGGAAGTATTAGACAAATGGCAATATAGTTCAATTTTTGGTGTGCCAGAGTCTAAATAAGTTCTTGGAAAATACGCCAGAAAATGCTCAGACTGAAAATGTTGTATGTGTAAAATCAATGAAGAAGCCATGATCGTTAGACTGAAAGATGAAATTGCAAATATGAAAATACAGGTAAACCTGACTCCTTAAGATCTGTAATGATTGCCCCATTGTTAAAGAATGCAGATTAAGGTAAAAAATTGCTATTTAAAGTCAACTTTTTTGTCCACTTTGTCACTATTTTACATCTCAGATCTAGCAGTTGAACTTGAACACTCTTTCACTTAGTCATAGCACAAAGAGGACGGTGAGGAAGATAAGAGCCAGATTCCATAGAAATTTATGGTCTATGGCTGAGTTTGTGTTTTATTTTAAATGCGGTAGACCCTCATTAAGGGTGAGAATAACAAAGTGAGTTAGGCTTTAAAAAATTCATTCTGGCAGCTCTATGGAGATTTTAGAGAAAAAACAGAAGTAGACTACTTAGTTGATAATTAGGAAACAATTGTGTCCAGCTAAGAGATGATGGTGGCTTGGAATGGGGAGATGATGAAGCTAAGAGAACAAACAGGGTGTGCTGATGGATTTGGGTATGGATGCCGAGAGAGGGGAAGGAATAAAAAATTCCTCCAGCCACTCACCTCCCAGTCACAAACACGCTTTCTCATCATCCCCCCTTTATGCACATTAATCATGTCACTCTCCTGTTTGATGCTGTGAACTTGAAATCAAAGAACGGCAGGTGTGGCTCTTTATAATCTGTCCCCTACCTCCCACTCCTATCACTTCCCAACCCAGCCTGCCTATAATGCCCTTCACTAACTTCTCTAAAAATTAGGAATATTTTCATACAGAACCACAAGGCCATTCTCACACCCAACAAAATTAATAATAAATCAATCTTTGGTGTCTTCTAATAACTTGTAATAACATAATCAAATTTTTACAATTGCCTACAAAAAATGTTTTTTTATAGTTTGTTAATAATATAGAATTTTGAAACCCTTGGCAAAGAAAATAACTTTAAGAATCTGAATTTCCAGAAGTCTGACTGTAATACATAAACTTCTAAGTTTATGTCATAACTAATAGGTTCTGGAAGAATGTATGATATTGTGTGTTTACTTGTTTGCTTGCTTTATTCACCCATAAGGAGATAGAGACAAAGTTCAATGGAAGAGGAGAATTTTCAGGAATGACATATTAGAGTTCACAGAGTAAATCTCTTGAGTGGATCTCAGGGAAAAGGCCTGAATGCCATCACCCTAGGCTAAGCACCACAAAGGGAAGGATAATAGCCCAGTAATTTCTGGGGATCCCATTAAAAAAGAAAGCTATGCTTCATTTTCCAGAGTGTAGCCTCAAGGTTCTGCCGATCTTAAGAGTCTTAAGAGATCAGAAATGTGCCAGGGCAATAAAAGAGTAAAAGCTAATAAGGTGGCTCCGTTAAGGAGCTCAAGGGCAGCCTTTCAAAATCTTATCATAATTCCCAGTGAGCCTCCAGCACTGTGAAGGCTCAGTAGTCGTGCCTGCTGAAGGTGAACGGAGACCAAACATAGCCTACAGGGTAAGAAAAAGGGGACTGAATCTGAAACTTGTATTTAATTGACTTTAAATCTTAAAATGCCTGAGCTACCTGGAAGTCACTAAATTAAGTTACCTCCCATTAGGCAAACCGAAGGTATAAGATAAATTAAGTTCAATTAAAAAAATACCAAGCTTTATCTTTGCCAGTGGAGTCAGTGATTGAAATTAATACATACTACACATCCATATACACATACCTCTCAGTGAATTTACACTTATGTATTTATAGCAGATACCACTAGCTGGTTGAATTAAGGGATTTTTATTTTCTTCCTTTTACTTACATGCATGTAAAATGTTCTCTGTATTGAACATGTATTGCTTTTCTGCCACAAGAAAATAATAAAAGATATAAACCAAATTATAGTAAAGAAATTATGAAGTTTTTCAACTTTGTTTTTAATTAATGTTAGACTTATAGAAAAGTTGAAAAATTACTACAAAAAGTTCCCTCATATCTCTTATCCCATTTATTTTAACATACATAATCACAGTATAATTATCAAAATCAAAAAATTAACACTGACACAATACTCTTTCTGAACTTTTTTTTTTTTAAATAAGAAGGCAGAGGAAATGATGGAAGATAAAATCTTTTGTAACTTAGTTATTTACAACAGAATTTTCTCAGACTTAATCAGGACCCCAACAGATTCTGGGGCAGATTTCTGGGTATAACAGCTGGTAGGGCAGAGGAAGTAATATAAAATGAATGCCAAGTAAAAGTCTTAATAATATAATGAATATCAAGTGCCTGCCTTTGAATAATAAATGCTTATTGTCATTACTATTATTATAATAGAATTATTATCCAATGAGTCCACTAGCACTTAACAAGAAATATAGTTGATTGAAGCTTATTTCCTGGTGCTCAGCAGCTGGGTTATTCCTAAATACCAGAATAACTGTTTCCAGAAGCCATTTTCGTAGGTGTGTGTCCTTGATCATACTGAATTGTTTCATCAAGAATCAGGAGACACTCTGATGCCAACTCCCATTCTGAGAAATCTGTGGTGTTCCAGATTACAGAGGACTTTCCCAGGAGATAGTAGTTTCCTCCTCCTTCAGGCCTTGACTCACTAAGTGCTCCTACTCGGCAGAAGACCAGAATTGCTGAAGAATCAGAACTGCCTGGGATCTGTCCCTTCCTTTGTGTCCTGCACAGGATGCTTTTCCTAACTTCAGAAAAGCACAACTCTGAGCCATGGAATTATTTGGGGTTCTTGTCATGGCCATGGTGAAAGTTCTTATTTTAATGAATACTGCAAGGATTGGTGAATGTTTTTCTGCCTTCTTTATGGCTAAAAAATTAAAAGACCAAAACTTCAACTCTAAATACACTTTGGACATTATCAAAAACACTTTTTAAATGTGGGAAACTTTATTGTATTAGCAAATCAGTTTAAATCATCAGTCATTATCACAATTCACCAAATCATTGCATGCTACAACCATAGGATTATAGTTTGCTAACCCAGAATTAAGGTTTAACTTGCCATTTCCAAGTCCTTTAGAAAGTTAAAAAAAACTGCAAAATGTCAAACACATTTCTCAAATTTGAAGAAAAAGAGTATTTGAATAGATTTTTAGAGGAATTTAATCTCCTGACCTAATAGAATTAGAAATCCTAAGAAACTCAAGTTCATAAACAGATGAAATTTTAGGGTCAAAATATATTAATATCCTGCTTGAATTGCTAATTTTGTAATATTTACAAATAAAATTTCCATTTCTCAAGTATTTTTAGATAAGGTGTTGGGGTCAAAAAGAAAGTCAAATGTACCCCCAGGTGAACATTAAAGCATTGATGACCTAGGTTAGCATACTAAAGTCAACACAGATGGCTGTAAATATTCAGAAAATTGAGCTTCTCAGTAAACATCAATAGTTGTCTACATTATAAATTTGTGAAAAAGATAATTAAAAGGACAAGACACATATTTTTACCCATAAAATTAATATAGATTTTTAAAAAGGATGAGACACAAAGCTAGCCTGGTGTCTAAGATGTGCTTTTTCAAGATACTTCTTTTTTTTTTTTTTTTAAAGATTTTATTTATTTATTTGAGAGAGAGAGCAGGAGAGGGAGGAGGGTCAGAGGGAGAAGCAGACTCCCTGCCGAGCAGGGAGCCCATTGCGGGA